TACTTCCGTTCTTTTATCTAACTTACTATGGATTATTTGCTCGAGTTCATATGGACCGTTTGTTTGTGCATATATATGCTGTCTCAGTGTTTTTTTTTATGGAAATATATGTTGTCTCAGTTTAAGTTTGGGAAAATTGTCGAAAATATAATATATGTTGGCACCAGATTTCTGTTTGTGAAGATTGAAGAAATCCGCCATACGTGGAAACTAAAGATTGGCAAAGATTTGTTTTCCATGTTTATTTTGGAATTAATTAGAGTCCTATTCTTGTAATATTTTTATTAAGACCTAGATTTATTTCCATGTATTATATTCTAGTTAGGTATCTTTTGTACTTATCTAGAATAAAAGTAGAAATCGACTAGGATTCTATTACCTAGTTAATCGATTTCTTAGGGCCCAAGTTAGGTTTAGGGTGGTGATTTCGTGCCTATATAAGGCCCTCAACCTCATATGAGTCCTATGGAGCTTTAATAAGAAAAATCCCAGCATAAAGGCTTTGAAGGGTGCAGCCCGTGCTGCAGCCCTGTCTGCACGACAGGTGTGGCAACAGAACAGGTTTCTTCTACCAGGCCATAAAGAAGATCGGCATTTCGGGAGAAGTGCTTAAAAGATCTCGGGAGAGGTCGATCCGCCGTTTGAAGGAAGTTCAACATTGGAGGAAGTCCAAGAGTGCGGAGGACGAATTGCTTTGATTATCAACAAGTTCGAGTCGTGTGCAAGAACGGCATATCACATAAAGAGGGAGTCTTTAGTGTTTTATTAAGTCCTATTAATGTACACTTAAATCTGAACTAGTTTTGCAAGTCCTCGTGGATGTAGGGTACGTTTGTATCCGAACCACATTAAATTCTTGTGTTCTTTATTCTGTTTTTAATAGGTTTATTACTGTGACAACACAAGAATTCTGTTACGACACCTAATGTCGTAACACGTAGTCTGTCTCAACAGATGAGTGGACTTTGATAGGCATTTAAATTCAACAACTGGCATCAGAGCGGGTCACTAGATATACTTAGTGTCCGATTTTGGGTTTTGATTTGTTTGCTTTGCTTATTGGATGACGTGTGTTCACAAGGAAGGTTGAGACGGAAGTCTGTCACGGCATTCACCCAATTCCGCTGCGTTGTAACGTGCCCCGTGATGGGACACTCTGATAGAAGACCAAGACGGGTGAAGAAAAGTGACATCTTTGTTGCAGGGGGAGTAAATCTCATCTGCAGGGGGAGTTCTTGTTAAACATGGATTCCAACCAATCTATGCCAAAGGGGGAGATTGTTGGCACCAGATTTCTGTTTGTGAAGATTGAAGAAATCCGCCATACGTGGAAACTAAAGATTGGCAAAGATTTGTTTTCCATGTTTATTTTGGAATTAATTAGAGTCCTATTCTTGTAATATTTTTATTAAGACCTAGATTTATTTCCATGTATTATATTCTAGTTAGGTATCTTTTGTACTTATCTAGAATAAAAGTAGAAATCGACTAGGATTCTATTACCTAGTTAATCGATTTCTTAGGGCCCAAGTTAGGTTTAGGGTGGTGATTTCGTGCCTATATAAGGCCCTCAACCTCATATGAGTCCTATGGAGCTTTAATAAGAAAAATCCCAGCATAAAGGCTTTGAAGGGTGCAGCCCGTGCTGCAGCCCTGTCTGCACGACAGGTGTGGCAACAGAACAGGTTTCTTCTACCAGGCCATAAAGAAGATCGGCATTTCGGGAGAAGTGCTTAAAAGATCTCGGGAGAGGTCGATCCGCCGTTTGAAGGAAGTTCAACATTGGAGGAAGTCCAAGAGTGCGGAGGACGAATTGCTTTGATTATCAACAAGTTCGAGTCGTGTGCAAGAACGGCATATCACATAAAGAGGGAGTCTTTAGTGTTTTATTAAGTCCTATTAATGTACACTTAAATCTGAACTAGTTTTGCAAGTCCTCGTGGATGTAGGGTACGTTTGTATCCGAACCACATTAAATTCTTGTGTTCTTTATTCTGTTTTTAATAGGTTTATTACTGTGACAACACAAGAATTCTGTTACGACACCTAATGTCGTAACACGTAGTCTGTCTCAACAGATGAGTGGACTTTGATAGGCATTTAAATTCAACAACTGGCATCAGAGCGGGTCACTAGATATACTTAGTGTCCGATTTTGGGTTTTGATTTGTTTGCTTTGCTTATTGGATGACGTGTGTTCACAAGGAAGGTTGAGACGGAAGTCTGTCACGGCATTCACCCAATTCCGCTGCGTTGTAACGTGCCCCGTGATGGGACACTCTGATAGAAGACCAAGACGGGTGAAGAAAAGTGACATCTTTGTTGCAGGGGGAGTAAATCTCATCTGCAGGGGGAGTTCTTGTTAAACATGGATTCCAACCAATCTATGCCAAAGGGGGAGATTGTTGGCACCAGATTTCTGTTTGTGAAGATTGAAGAAATCCGCCATACGTGGAAACTAAAGATTGGCAAAAGATTT